TCTAAGCAAATGAGAAAGGAAGCCATGTGGTTATCAGAGAGAAGGATCACAGAAAACAGGCACACATCTTAAGAACACCAAATCATTAAGGGCAAGGGCATAAATTAAAGCAAGTGAGGATAAAAATGGGGAAAAGAAAATACAAAGGTCACAAAAGTGAAAGGAAGCACACATAGAGCCTTGTAGAGATCCTTGGACTTTACTCTGAGAGAGAAACCTTTGAAAGCTTTTGAGCGTAAGTAACAGGGTTTAATAACTACTATTTTTGATCCAATAACAATTAGCTATTTCCATTTACATTATAGTTGATGCACTTACTATGTGCTGAGTTGCTCCGGCATGTCCGACTCTTTGTGACCCCATAGACTGTAGCCCGCCAGGGTCCTCTGTCCATGGAGATTCTCCAGGCAAGAATACTGGAGTGGGCTGTCATTCCCTCCTCCAGGGGAACTTCCCAACCCAGGTCTCCTGCATTACAGGCAGACTCTTTACTGTCTGAGCCCGTAGGGAAGTCGAAGAATACTGGAGCGGGTAGCCAATCCCTTTTCCAGGGGAACTTCCTGCCCCAGGAAATCAAACCAGGGTCTCCGGCATGCAGGTGGATTCTTTACCAGTTGAGCTACCAGGGAAGCCCTATGAAGTTCTTATCTATAGAGAATAGATAATTATGGCCTGAGGACTAAGACCTTGGTCATGACAATATTTAGAAAAAAAATAGGATTTCAAAATACTGAACCATAAATCACTTGATACACTTACCCTTGGTTCCCTTTACAGTCTTAATTATATACCTAAAAACATAGCTGAAGTGTTATAACATTGTGGAGTAACTACCAAAGACAAGAAATCTGAAGTTACTAGAATTGCTTTGAAATCATTAAGAAAACTAAAGAGTCTAAATTAGTATATGAAAAAAGACTACTACATGGTATGTATGAATTTAAACAAAATCCAAGTATATTATACAATTGAATAAAAAGATCTGGGTTATTGTGTCAGGTCTATTTTGAGGCTAAACTATAAATTAGCATGTAGCTGTTAAAAACTTTGTTTTTCTGTGCTCTAGGAAATGTGTGACACTAAGAATTTCTAAAAACACACATATTCTTTAATTTTATATAATTATTTAAAATGTACTCAAGGTGTTCCCTAAAGGATATCAAATGCAAATATATCTCAAAGTGGTAAAAAAAAAAATCATGTTTTAATAAATATAAGATGTTGCCATTAATAAAACACACTAGCTAATTCTTAGCTAGAAACAAGAATGCTTCATCACCTCTTTTGTAAATCAAGACCCACAAGCTTAAGGCAGAAGAAGCCATACTACACCACTGTCTAGTTATGGTTTCCACGGCCACAGGAAATGAGAAGCTGTGGCAGACATGAAAACTTAGAGCTACAGTCTCACAGTTACGGCCAGAAGCTTAGAAATCTTTGTCCAAACACAGTGGTAGATCTAATTTCCAGTTACTCCACCTTACAATGGGCAACAGCATGGTACCTTGCTAAACTCAACCAGAGCTTAACAGCAGAGTCTCACCCGGAACCTCACGATAAACATCCTATCACACCTCACATTCTTGCCATACTACAAAACACAAGCCTCATCTTTCCTTTTCATTCTTTACTCTTGATGCATCCATCTAACCTCTTCCATCAAGATCTCCAGAAATACATTCATGATATCTTCAATTGCTTTATATGTTTTCTCAATCTCTTAGCTTTCACTGAAACCTAACGCCCCCAAATGCATTTCTTATAATTCTTTTAAGTGAGGTTTCCAAAGACAACTCAAATATCCTTGTTATTCATTGTTATTAAAAATAATGCCCATCCCGTTAAAAAAAAAAAAAGTACAATACAAACACAACTTATATTTAGAAACTTTCTGGTAAATTGCATCCATATACTAAAGCCTCTATTTTGCCCCATTTATATCACTGGCATTGTGACTTCAATGCCTGTATGCATGATCTATCCGAACCCTCAAGCCCCCAAAATACTTGACTTTCTTAACTTGAGGGTCCCTCATCTCCTCTCAGTTTCAGCCAATCACTACCTTCGGCTCTGATCATCATCATCTATGCTTGTAACAGTTTCACTTAAACTAAAACTATCTTTTTGACCCATCAGGCATTTTGTAACCAACCCAACATCTTCATCTGGCACCACAAGCTTTCCAACGGTGGTCATCACCAATGACATGTAAATTCAACTACTCCAATGTTAACACTCTACACACATGCCACTCCCATCTGCTCTAACAGTCAGTGGTGAAATACCATGCATCTTCTTCTAGCTATTACAGAAAAGTCGTCAAACTGCAAGTATGGATAAGTTAATCTTAGCTGGGTACTCTGTTAGCATGAGACTCTCAATATCTGATCCACTTCACCCATTTTCCCCAAGAACTTTCCAAGTTTTCAGTCTTTTCAAATCCCCTAACCAAACTCTAAGTTCCACAAAAACTACTTTAAAATGTTTCTTAAAAAGTTACATAATCAAAAAACTATAAAGAGATATACCCGCACTCCTATGAGGATGGCTTACAATGAAGGGAAAAAAAAAACCCAAATAATTACAAATGTTGAGAATGTATGCAATTATAACCTTTGTGCATTATGTGGTCAAATGTTAAAGTGGTACAGCCACTCTAGAAAACAGTATGAAGGTTTCTTACGCAAAAAATTAAAAATAGGACTATCATATGATCCAGCAATCTGACTTCTGGGCATATACCCAAAGAAATAAAAGCAGGGTCTCGAAGAGGTATTCATATATTGCAGCATTATTCACAATAGCTAAAACAAAAGCAACCAGTGTCCATCAGCAGAAAAATGGATAAACGAAATGTTACATACATACAACAGATTATTCAGTTCCTAAAAGGGAAGAAAATTCTGACATACATTACAACATGGATGAACCTTGATATCATGCAATGTAAGTAAAATAAGCCCATCACAAAAAGACAAATACTGTGGGCACTCAGAGTATATGAGGTATCGTTGTCCAAATCAAAGTAGAATGGTGATTGCCAGGGTCTGGGGAGAAGAGTGGAATGGGGAGTGATTTTTTTTTTTTCCATTTATTTTTATTAGTTGGAGGCTAATTACATTACATCATTACAGTAGTTTTTGTTATACATTGAAATGAATTAGCCATGGATTTACATGTATTCCCCATCCCGGTCCCCCCTCCCACCTCCCTCTCCACCCGATCCCTCTGGGTCTTCCCAGTGCACCAGGCCCGAGCACTTGTCATTTGAATCAGTTCTAATGAGATGGATGAAACTGGAGCCCATTATACAGAGCGAAGTAAGCCAGAAAGATAAAAGACCATTACAGTATACTAACACATATATATGGACTTTAGAAAGATGGTAACGATGACCCTATATGCAGAACAGAAAAGGAGACTCTGATGTATAGAACAGACTTGTGTACTCTGGGAGAAGGCGAGGGTGGGATGTTTCAAGAGAACAGCATTGAAACATGTATATTATCTAGGGTGAAACAGATAACCAGTCCAGGTTGGGTACATAAGCCAAGTGCTCGGGGAGTGATTTTTTTAAACTGACAACAGTTTCAGTTTTGCAAGATGAAGAGAGCTACAGAGATGATGGTGGCAATATAAACTGAACATTTTGTAATGTGTATTTTACCACACACAAAAATTTTAAGTTACATGGACACATATGTTTGAAAAATACATTTTATAATTCCTTCTTGGAGATGCACAATGTGTATCATTTTAAAGGATTTTTCACAATTTTCAGGAAAGAAAGCTGCTGTTTAAGTCTGTATGTCCCAAGCTTAATCAACAATGAAACCACTTCTTCCAGAAGCACACAGTGGTGTAGCTGACCTAATTTACTAAGAAAGTTGAGTTTAGGCACAATGGCTTGGACTTCCCCATTCTTAACTACCAATACATTTAACATCACATATTCATCCTTACCTTCCTCTTCTAGTTTCATAAGGGTCTTTGCTCTTATTCAAGAGAAATCCCTATACCTATATTCTTCATTCCAACCCTTACTACTTTAAAGCCCTGATTCAATAATCACCATCTCTAGTTATTTTAAACTTTTATTTTAAACTTCTTATATTATCACAACTAATCACTGAAGTCTTACCTACTTCACTTTCTAAAGACTTTTCTTTAAACCAGAAAACTTTATCTTGAATTCCTAATATACTACTGCCCTTATTTAGGCTTTCATTCACTAAAACTTGGTCATCCTACCATATGATTTCTCTTCAATCCTGTTTCCTTGCCAGCAAAGTTACTAAAAATATATATATCTAACAAGGTTACCCTACTTAGCAAATTCTTTACCGACTCCCAAATACCTACGAGAGACAGGCCAAGGCCGTTCACATAGCATGCAAGCACCTAGTCCTTTTTATCCAGTCTCATCTCCTTTAATTTCCCACCGTTCAGTTAGTCTACAATCTAAAAATCCTCAACTGCCTACTGTTTCCTACATTTACTATGTGGCTCTGTAAGTGCTCGTGCTTCTGCCTGGAATGTGCTAGCTAACTCCCAGTCACTCTTCAAGACTGAACTTAGCCTTCCCTGATCACCCCTGTTTTCTGCCATGTGGATTAGGTCCCTATTGCATCAAGGTACCTGAGTACACTGGTACTTCTTTACGTTCATGTTCCATCCTGGGATCCTTCTACCACCATGAATGAAATGATGTGCTTCCAGGTCTTTCACACTGAACAGACTAAAACTTCTAGAGGAGCAAAAATATGTAAGAATCCAGGGGTATGCAATTATCTGTCTAGAAGTAGAAATCTAGTAATATGTTACCATGATTTAGAGGTATTTATTTGGTAGGGAAAATTAGACATGTGTATTCCTATCTTCCAATTTACTTTCTAAAGCATTACTCCCTTTTACTGGAAATTGTTTTCAAAAAACGTGACACCATTTAAAGCAATCTAGAGCAACTTAAGACACCACAGCCTCAACCAAGTTACACTTACATTCGGCTAGCTTCAATGTCGTCAGATTGAGGTTCTCCTGATGATCTGTAAAATGCAATTGAGAAAAGTTAAGCAAAATATACCATATTCAGAAAAGGAGCAAACATTTTATTTTGGAAGACAAATTTGAAAACAAGATTTAATGGGTTAACAATTTTTAAAGCTTAACACGAGAAAAAAGTGATCAGATCAGATTGCCATACAACATTCATTTATCGTTAAGGGCTAGACTAATAAAAACTCAGTTCATTTTCTTAAGGAAAGGAAACTAAACACTATTTAGATACCAACGTACAAACCAATGTAACAAATCATAATTATTTACAAAGTCAAATATTTATAATAAAAACATACAACTATGAAGCCATCTATAGCCAAGTATCAGTTATTCACAATACCAAAGGTATTCACTGGTATTCGTGGTCCCAAACTTTAGATAAAGTATCAGCAAACTACTGCCTGGGATGGCAAACTAAGGCCTGGGTCAGCCGCCTATTTCTGTAGACTTGTTCTGGCACAGAGGCATGCTCATTCATTTACATACTGTCTATGGCTACTTTTATACTACAAGAGCAGAGCTGAGAAACTTACAGACAGGTGGCCCACAAAGCCTAAAATATTTATTACCTGTCCCTTTAAAAAAAAGTCTGCCAATCTCTGCTGTAGATAATACAAATTTAAACCTAATAGCCTCATAAATTTTGAGACACTAAAGTCTGATTTACCATTCTGATCATGATTACTTTATTTCAACAAAAGTAGCTATCCCTGAAAATACACTGGCAGCATGTATACCTGTCAACTGTATTCTAGGGTATTAAAAATCCTGCTGTGGATAACTATGAACTGACTTCAGTTATAAACAGTTTCCAGTTTTCTTCTACTTTTTCAATATACTGCTGCTATTTTAAGTAGAAATATTCAAAATTCTAAGACAGTAAGAAGTCTTTTATTTTCATTCTGGGGCATGAACCAATGCTGCCTACCCCACCCAACATGTTAAAGAAAACAAATTCCTATTACTCTATTCACTTTTATAACCAGCATCAGTCAACATATATTAAGGTGAATCAACATAATACTGATTTCTAACACTTTCAATTCACAGAATAGGTAAAACATTTTTTAGAGGTCAAAAGCTAAATTTTCAAACTGATATTATAAGGACTTGATTTGTAAATTTATCACTGACTTGAGACTTCAAATTCCAAACAACTTTTAATCAAAGAATCTTAAACTTGGAGCCACCAGAAAAGAAAAAAATGTTTCCTGTTTCTCAGTTTTAAAAAACTCACTTCTTTATCACTTTCAAAATTATCCCTCATTGCAGGGGTCCAAGGGAAAGAATGCAAAAAAATGTAAGAGCAGCTCAAGTATTTATTTTAGATCTTCTCTGCAGTATATTCACATTTTCAATTTTGCACAAAATGATATTAGAACTAAAACCTGGGGCATGCTGGAGGTGGCAGTGACTTGGCAGTGACACAAATCCAAAAATTTCACTCCACCCTCTCCCCCAGGGAGCAAGCAAATCACCTTTGTGACACACCTGGTTTCCACCAGCCTTGTGGGTAAGTACCCCAAGATTGCTTCCAAACTTGTATCTCTCAGACAGAAGAGCTAAAAAGTGATGATAACCCCATGTACCAGCTGACTCATTTTTGAAAGTGCGACCCTCCAGCATCAGATGTCATACTGTAAGGAGGCAGAGCAGGCTTGCAAAACAAAAAATAAACCTGCTGGCTCTAAGGGAAGAGAGGCAGATTAGAAGCTTTTAAACACGTAGGCGGCAAAATTTTCAAAATTAACAGGGAAAGAGGGGGGAAAAATGAGGACACATTGACAGGGAAATTAAACTACTACTGCAAAAAGGTAAGAGGCAAGCAAGAAGAAAAACAAATCCAAGTCTCAGAAGTACAATTTGTAATTGTAAAGTTTTCAGATTCTGAAATGGAACAGAGATTAAATACTTCCAATGGTATCTACATTCTAATTTTCAAAGTCTGTTCCCTAAACAGAATATGTAAACATAAGCATCATTTAATATTAACATATATTAATGTAACTACCAAAACCACTTTAAAGTCAAACCAAGTAATTTAAATCAATTCAAGAAAAAAAAGAATAATAAAAACTGAAGATTACCTTAAAACAATCTACCCTAAGACTCTTAAACATAGTGCATTGGTTTTTCACTCAAAACGGAAACTTTTTTAATCAAGAAAAAGGTTATGAATATACACTGACCTACAAGAAGCACTTTTTATCTTATAGTAATAAGCAATAGTATCTGCCTGTATAAATTTCTAGTCATTCTGCTTACTGTATTCTGTCTGTAATATTCTAAATAATTTACCAACGAGTATCCTAAAGTTAGGATCCAAACAGTCCAAATTACAAAGTACATAAGATCTGGGGGGAGAACAGATACATGTGTATGTACGGCTATGTCCTTTGCTGTTCACCTGGAACTACCACCACATTGTTAACTGGCTACACCCAAACACAAAATAAGTTTAAACCTTGGGGGGTGGGGGGGAGAAATTCCAAAACTCCAAAAAATAAAAGAATAAATAAAATACCTAAGATCTAACAACAGTTTCCAAGCTTTAATTTAGCCCCTGGAGAGTCTTTACTCTTTACTGTCAAATCCTGGGAAGTAAGGATCTGGTTGTTCAGCTGCTCAGTCGTGTCCAACTCTTTGCAACCCCATGGACTGCATGCAGCACCAGGTTTCCCTGTCCATCATCTCCTGGAGTTTGCTCAAGCTCATATCCATTGAGTCAGTTGCAATTTTACCAAAATGAGGACACGACACAAATGAAAAAAACCCAGAGAGTACTGACTTAGGTTAACCTAAAGTTTGTCAGAAAAACAAATCAGAAGAGAGATTTTTATGAGGTGAAGCTTCTCTGGACTGCAAGCCCCTCCTTTAACTTCCACTGTAACTCTCTGGGACAGAACAGTATACCAGTGTTATTAAAACTCTCAGCACATGAAAAGCATACTTTAAAATGTATATTAAGACTTTTTTCATGGTTTTTTTTTTAAATCTTCATAATAAAACATTTAAAAACGGAATTTTTTAGAAATACTTTCCTATTTATTCATAAAGACAGGTCTGGGGAAAAGGCACAAAGTATTTTAGGAAGGAGATTAAATGGAGAAGCAGGTCACTATTCGTAGTAGTCAGTATCCCTGCCAACTATACATTTTCTTCCTTTTTTTTTTTAACAGCATGTATTTTACAATGGCAGCCTTTTAAAGGCTGTAAAATAACATTCAAAATTACCTTTTACAAGCTGTGGCCATTCGGTGACATCAGGGTGATCACAGCTTTGAGTCACTGATTAAAAACAGGTTGTCACACCAGTCTAGCTGCTAACTTGATCTGAGCGTAGGTTTAATAACTCTAACAAATTAAACAAATCTTTAGTTAGAACACTTTATAAACTCAATTCATTGTTCAAAAAAAAAATCTTCACAGGTTTGAATTAGGTGCCAATGCAACATTCATCAGAAGAATAATTATAGAAATGCTTTCAAGGATTATTTTCCAGCATTTTTTCCCTAAATTATTTCTTCACTTGAGAAAACATGACAATAATCTTGTACTTTTATGAAGTGTCACAGTTTACAAAAGCACTTTGGTCAACAGTATCTTAAATCTCAAGACAACTTTAGCTCTAACCTATACTGAGTAGGTACAATAGAAAAGAATTTTAAGAAACAGAAAAACGAAGCAGCCTTAGAGTGATTAATTGACTTGCCCAAGATTTTAGTATTAGTGTTGAAGCCAGGACTAGGACTAAAACCTAGGTATACTGACTTCATAACCAGAATTAGTATTTTGTGATTTTGTTTAGTTTTGCTATAGAGCCTCATGATTTAAATATATGTAAGTAAGCAAAGATTTAAAGTATAAATCGAGAATCCACAATAGTTTAAATGGGACTAACAGTAATAGACTTTCCCGGTAGTCAAGTACTTAATGAAATAGTTACACACAAACATACACACACACACATCAAGTCTATTCCTACTTAATCCATAGGATAAGCTAACATTAGCAAAAACTCCTTGGGTATTTCATGAATATTATATTCTCCTTATCAGTCATAAATCCACTAACATTCAATTTCATGAGAGAGAATGGCAAAATACAAAATCATTTTTTCTCCCTCAACCTAGGATCTTCTGATCCCCTTACTTGGCCTTAGCTGAACTGTCCTGATTATCATGGTTCACGATTTATCAGGCGTCCTAATCACACTGCAATTCTGGCAAAGATACACATTGGGAATATCCCAGAATCAAGAGTTCATGTCCTGCAACTACTTTTTCCTCCTGATGATTTCCCTACCGAACTATATATCCAGGCCAAACCTGAAAAGTGATCTAAGGAAAGATGAGAAAATTAGGAGACAGAAACAAAAGACCCTTGACATCTATAAAACAGGAAGCTATCTGAGAATACTAAGGGATGAAACATCAATGCTTGAACCCATAACTCTGCAGCCTATGAACTTGGGCTTCAAATTAAGATAAGGGTAAGAGTTGGCCAAAGAATACATAAGTAACTTTTGGGGACTCCAATACAGACATAGTTCATTTTATTGCACTTCACAAATAATGTGTGTCATCTCTGACAAACTAAAGGTTTGTGGCAGCCTGCCTCTAGCAAGTCTACAGGTGCCATCTTTCCAACAGCATTTGCCCACTTCATGTCTCTGTGTCACATTTCGGTTAATTCTTACAATATTTCACATTCTTTCCTCATTATTATGTTTGTCACAATGATTTATGATCAGTAACTTTTGATATTACTATAACAACTTGCTGAAGGCTCAGAAGATGTTTAGCACTTTTTTTTATCAACAAAGTATTTTTTAATTAAGGTGTGTACACTATTTTTTGGACATAATGTTACAGCACACTGATAGACTGTAGTAAGCTTCTGTCAGTGTGACTTTCGTAGGTACTGGAAAGCCAGAGACTTCACACGATCAGCTTTATTGGCCATACTGCAGCAGTCTAGAACTGAACCTCAAACACTCTGAGGTATGCCTAAATACATGGGATTTATAATCCCTGGAGGATGTCAAATTTCCTAAATTTTCCGATCATGTTACAAGCTTCCTAATAACAACTAGAAGATTCTTGAGGTCATTTGGAAAAGAGGTAATGTGCCCCCTGAAACAAATAGTATTTCCTCTGGGGTCTTCATAAGACTAATAGTGTATGTGGATTTAAAAGATCCAAGTCTAACTTTCCAACCTGTAAAACATAAAAACGAAAAAGTCAAAATACCTTTTAATTGATTAACTGAGATGAATTAATTCATTAAAGAGCTACATGTTCTGTGAAAAATATTGAGGCAAGTTTTCTCTTTTAGACTTCCTTTTTCATTGCCCAGTGCTCAAAAGAGCAAACAGCTCCCAGAGTCAGTCTGGATACAAGGCCTTGTTTGGTCCCTTACTTAATGGAAAATCTTGGGCAAGTTTCTTAACCTCTCCAAGCCCGTTTCCCAATATATAGAACTAAGGTAACAGTAGTACCTATTTCAGAGGTCTGTCATGAGGATGAACAAACATATATTTTGTCCAAAACAGTGTCTGGCACACAGAAAAAGCCCAATAAATGGAAGCTGTTATTAACTCATAACCTAACAGCCAAACTCATCCCCTCAATCTTCTTATGCAATTATTTTACCTCTCATAGCACACTAACCTGTTCTAAATCTCTTTCTGAATCCCACTTGGAGCCCTCACACAGTCTACCTGGCAGCATAGTGATTTAGCACCTAGCAGCATAATCCTTTAAAAATGGCAGTCATCCAAATCTGCTGAATACATCCATCACTATTCTAATCAAGACATTAAGATATTCATGCAATTTTGACTTTCAAAAAATAAAACAGAAACATACCATATTTCGCCAAACTTCTGAGGAGCTGGTGAATTCTAAAATCAGGCTCTTACAGATTTTTAACCTAAAACATAAAACACCTCACTCAATTCTTTTTACACAGACAACCGAATAGACAACTTTCAAAGAAAGAAAAATTGCTCTAAAATTACAGAAGCAAACTCATTTGTAATATCTGTGAATATTCAAAACATATCAAGAGACAAACGCCCCTAAGAACTGCTGCCAGGATGTGTGGACAGGTAGTTGGGCAGAACCGTGAAGCCCATTTTCAGCCACAGAGCTTACTGCTCTGCATTTCCTGACTCCTCTCTCTCCAACAGGGCTGAAAATACATGACCACTGTTTAAGTGTGAGTCTCGAATTCCTTCAGACACCTACAGCAGTTAGGCTTTTAACTAAGTTCTACATGCTGAGCATCTGCTATGTTAGGTACATACACGAGCATCTGCCCAACCACCTCCCAGAGTAGCAGCTGGGAAGTGTCCTGGGAGTCTTAGGTGTCAGGTTGTTGTATCACTGAAAATATCTTTAAAGTATGTAAGACAATGTTGCTTGGAGCATTAACAGGGCCTCAATGTATGGTAGCAATTATTATTTCTTAAATCAAACATTTAATCTATCTATCAAAACTTCTCTTATCAAAAAACAAATTTTGAAGTCTTTAAGCTTTAACATGGATCCAAATAATCACTGTAAATTCTTATCTCGTTTGTACACAATCAGATCATGTCTCAGTTGAACAGAACTGAAGTTTTTTTTTAAATATATTTCCTTTTACTACATATGAAGAGACCAAGTCACCCACCAAGTTAGGAAACCCACCCAGCATCCTAAAGGTTGTTATCAGAAAATGAATATACTGCATATAATTGGAGAAGGAAACAGCAGCCCACTCCAGTGTTCTTGCCTGGAGAATCCCAGGGACAGAGGAGCCTGATGGGCTACAGTCCATGGGGTCGCACAGAGTCAGACACCACTGAAGCGACTTAGCAGCAGCAGCAGCAGCATATAATTACTGTTTTTAAAATTAATCACATGTTAAGATCTTAACAGACTGAGTCTCAGACTCTCTTCTATAATACAATCACCTAAGGAATCTCTAAAAAAAAAATGCAGATACTTACTTGATCTCAACCTCCAGAGACTGTGATTCAGTACATAAAATGGGGATATAGGGATCTGTATTTCATTGTGATATGCATACCCCAATTTGAGATACTTTGCCTTAGAAGATTAGGAACACATAATTATCGAAGAAATATACAAAATCTATGAAGATATAGAATAAGTAACAGAAACTGTAAGCACCAAAAATGCTAGTTGCACTCTGCAAATTTAACCATTAGCACTCTTATACCACACCTAGTGCCTTTATTTTCTTTATATTCAACAGAGGGCTCACTATAAATCAAAGAATAAGAAATGCATCTAAAAGTAAGAAATGTCAACATGAATCTATATCCACCAGTCCTGCCATCATTTTCATTTATCCTTAAAGCAGTCCATCTGCCTCCTCTCACTTTTTCTCCCTCTGCACAGGTGCATATATATATTGTTAATACATCTGTCATGTCTTTTATCTCCTCTCCAATAGCCTATTTCCTTCACCTCCTTGTAACCCTAGGACAAACTTAATTTACAGACTACTTTTTCTATCACTTTTTCATTATGTCCACTTAGCAAGCCTGTTCTCATTTATGCCATGTTTACAGTGTCTTAAATTTATGGGAAAGCTGCTTGTTGACAAACTCATTCAGCTTTGTACATTCATAAATTTCTCAACAAAAGACTGTTCCCAGTAACTTTCCTGCATCATCTTCCTGCCTTCAGGTTCTCCTCATTCCAGTTCATTCTGCAGTTAAGCTAAAATTTTAAATACTACTTTCTTATAGTACTTCCAACATAATTCCCTCAACTCCATTAACTCTTTACAGTACCATTACCTTCCTTTAACCACCAGAAAGACCATTAGCTCAGATGCTAACATACAAAACTTTTCACATACTGCAAGTTTTCTTATAAAAGTCATCATCATTCTCTTATGTCCTAAATCTTATGACCTCTTTATCCTTTTTCTCTGCAGTATTTCACAATGCTAACCATTTCTCACCCCTCCTGGCTTCCCTAATGCTGTACCTGTCAGTGTTCTAGCTCTGACTGGAACTAAGTCTTCTGCTAGTTCATTTTCCTGCTCCCCAACCATAGCCTCTAAGTTTCCATCAGCAGTCCTTTTCTTAACATTAAAAAAAGGGGGGCTATTTAATTTAGGTTAAATTAATTTTCTGGACAAGATCAGCACCTGTTCCTCTATCACCTCTCTATATACTTAGCATCCCTCACATCTTTTAAGATCCCTCACATCTTTACACCTTTTAAGCCTTGATCTCCTGAGTCACAAGCCTGCTACTCTCAGTTACCAATGGTACACATGCACTTGGGATGTTTCATTAGCATATAAAATCAAACTCAATTATTTAAAAAAAACCTCACTCCATCTTGATGTGCCTACTCTTCCTACTCTTGTTGTCCTGCTAATTATACATTATAAGAAAAATGGTTAAAAAAAAAAAAAAGGTGAAAAACAAGAAAAAATGGTGTCATTCTTTATTTTCCCCCCTCGTTTTTATTTAGCCCAACCACTGTACAGTTTGATACTAAAGATCATTCGAAGAATGTCTACTACCTAAAACTAATACAATGTTATATATCAATTATAGCTCAAATTTTAAAATATGTTTGAAGGTCTACAAGTGGATGAAGACATACTGGTAAAGAAACTAGACATGTTCTTACAGATATACAGATATATAGATGTCTGTATACAGATATAAAGAACAGACTTTTGGACTCTGTAGGAGAAGGCGAGGGTGGGATGATTTGAGAATAGCACTGAAACATGTATATTACCATATGTGAAATAGATCGTCAGTCCAAGTCTGATGCATGAAGTGGGGCACTCAAAGCCGGTGCACTGGGACAACCCTGAGAGATGGGATGGGGAGGGAGGTGGGAGGGGGGTTCATGATGGGGGACACATGTACACCCACGGCTGATTCATGTCAATGTATGGCAAAAACCACTATGAATATTGTAAAGTAATTAGCCTCCAGTTAAAATTAATAAATTAATGTAAAAATTAAATTCAAAATTCAGTCTATAAATAAAGTTTTAGTGACCCCTTCCCCAGAATTGGAAACTAGACTTGCTCTTAGTCCCATGTAATGGGGGAAATGGGCACAAACAATAAAAACCACAATAAAGCAGGTAACTGCAATGCACGGTTAAGTGTTGTGAAGAAGAAACTACAACATTAGGTGCACAAATAGAGTATTCTGACTTAGTCTGGGAAAAAAGTAAAGATGTTCTTTATAAAGTAACATATAAACTGAGCACTGAGGCATGAATAATCTTTATCCCAGACATATTAAGAAAAACCAGGGGAAGTAATGATACCATTACCAGTCCAGTCATCCAAATTAGAAAACTGAGTTATATTCTAAAGAGAAGCCCTTCCTAGTACAACAAACTAACCCACTGCTATCAATTCTATCTCAGAAATTCCCCCACACTCCAACACTTCCCCCAATTATTGTTGTTGGTTTTGTTCCAGAGTAGCATTTCAGATGAAACTTTACATGATTTGGAAAAAATCTGCCAGTCCAGCCTCTTCTCTCAGACTAGACCACACTTTCAGAGAACACACACATAATTCATTTTTATACTTCCATTGCTTGAAAATGTTCACAAAATATACTTCTCAGGATAAACATCTTACAAAAGAGGAACATTTCCTTTGAGGTGACTTGTTTTAGGTCACTTAACTAGTAAATATAAGGTTAAGATCAAGTTGTCTGATTCTAAAGACCATGTTTCTTCCTTCCATTATTGATCAGTCACTAAATCGTGTCCAACTCTTTGTGCCCCACCCACACGAGGCTTCCCTGTCCCTCGTATCTCCTGGAGTTTGCTCAAACTCATGTCCATTGAGTGATGCCATCCAACCACCTCATCCTCTGTTGCCCCCTTGCCCTCAATCTTTCCCAGTATCAGGGTCCTATCCAATGAGTCAGCTCTTCTCTTCAGGTGGCCAAAGTACTGGAGCTTTAGCACCAATGAATATTCAGGGTTGATTTCCTTTAGGATTGACTGTTCTGATATCTTTGCAGTCCAAGGGTCTCTTTAAGAGTCTTCTCCAACACCACAGTTCAAAAGCATCAATTCTTTGGCACTCAGCCTTCTTTATGATCCAACTCTCACATCTATACATGACTACTGGAAAAACCACAGCTGTGACAAATTTTATTTTCTTGGGCTCTGAAATCACTGTGGACGGTAGCAGCCATAAAATTAAAAGATGCTTGCTCCTGTGCTTGTACACTTCTAATTTATACCAAAATCCTGTAAACTTTTTCTTTGAAATTTCACTTGTATCCTTTTTTTCCGATACAAACCAACAGTCTCATTTTACAGACCCTCTTACTCCACAGGATTTCCCGTTTTCCTCTATCTTTGACTCTGTTGCTAGAATAATCTTTTTCAAAAACCAAATTTGGCTATATCACTCTCATACTCAAAATCTTCTATGCTTTCCCAATGCCCACAGAATAAATTTCAAACTATCATATAAAGTCCCTGCTACCAGTCCCACCCTTACTGCCTACTGTATGACATCATTACCAGGTACTTGATGATCTAGTCCCATCACTGGATTACTGGCTATCACATACTTCAGTTCAGTTCAGTCGCTCAGTAGTGTCCAACTCTTTGCAACCCCATGGACTGCAGCACGCCAGGCCTCCCTGTCCCTCACCAACACCCAGTTTATTCAAGCTCATGTCCCTCGAGTCGGTGATGCCATCAAACCATCTCATCCTCTGTCGTCCCCTTCTCCTCCTGCCCTCAATCTTTCCCATCATCAGGATCTTCTCAAATGAGTCAGGTCTTCACATCAGGTGGCTAAAGGATTGGAGTTTCAGCTTCAACATCAGTCCTTCCAATGAACATTCAAGACTGATCTTTAGGATGGATGGGTTGGATCTCCTTGCAGTCCAAGGAACTCTCAAGAGTCTTCTCCAACACCACAGTTCAAAAGCATCAATTCTTCAGAGCTCAGCTTTCTTTATGGTCCAATTCTCACATCCATACATGACCACTGGAAAAACCACAGCCTTGCCTAGACGGACCTTTGTTGGCAAAGTAATGTCTCTGCCTTTTAATATGCTGTCGAGGTTGGTCATAACTTTTCTTCCAAGGAGTAAGCATCTTTTAATTTCATGGCCTCAGTCACCAGTCTGTTGTCCCATGTCCAGTTCTAACTGTTGCTTACTAGCCATCTTTATTTCTGACTTCAATGCTTTTGTTTCTCACAACACTTTACCCCGAAATACTTCTCCATCTTTTGCTAACCTTTATCTCTCACCCATCTATCATGCCCTGTTAAAAAATACTCATTTTAAATACTGTACCACACAATTCTCTAATCTCTTCTGTAAATAATCATTTACTATATAGTCCTAATACTGTATTAATTTCTACTTTATTATTTTATATAGTATAGCTATCTGCATACATTTCTCAGTGCTTCTAATAATAAGCTGGTTGAGGGAAAGGCGCATCTCCTTCATGTTTACTTTCATTGTATTGGGGACTGTTTTCTTTCTTTTTTTTGTCATACATTGCAATGAACTAGCCATGGACTTACATGTATTCCCCATCCCAGTCCTACTGGGGACTGTTTTCTTGACTCTACACCACTCCTCTACAAGGGAGGGGAAAAAAAAAAGAGTAGAGCTCATGGCCTGACAAAGGATTCTGAACTAGTTCCAAACACAATTCACAGACGAATAAACAAGAGAGTCCCTTAATTCCAAAATAACACAAATTTACCCCAAGTCAATTTAACGAAAGTATATTCTGAAGCACAGA